ATCGCTTGAGCGAAGATGAAAGTCATGGCCAGAGAAATGGTCAAACGGGATTTGTTGGCAATGGTGACTTTCCGAATAATCCTATTCTTCATTGGAAAGTTGAGTATTGGCAATTTGTAACCCTAACCAATGTTTGTAAATTTAACTCACGTTTTTAATGTTTTCAATGGCTCATTATCTTCAGCCATTATGCCAGTTTCCGGATCGACGGTTACCGATTTACACCTGTAGACATAAAAAACAAACAAACAAACAATCATTCAAACGTACTTGAAAATGATTCGATATATCGTTATTTAAATTTACTAGAGTACATTAATAAAACAGTTATTCTCCCGTGCGTGTAAATGGTGCGATGTCCTGTTGTTAAAATTTACGTGAAAAAGTCAATTTCACGTACGCAAAAATAATGGGATGTCTCGTTATTTAAGTTTACGTGACAACATACTAAACATAACACTTATAAGTTGTTTAAATCAGTATAGTAGGACTAAATTATACTAGTTTAACGCATTTCGGTTAAATTTCAGTTTTCATAAATTCAATTCGGTGATATTACAAAAGCATGATGTTCGCAGAGAAATGCACATGTACCACAACCGCATTTCCCTTTAATATTACCACTCGCGTTAGCCCGACAAGAAGATAACCTAACACCCGAATTTTAGTGTATAAATCTGTCAAAAGTTCAATACAATAACTATTATAACACTGACATCACCCGCTTATATTGTTTCCTGGTTGGTGGAAATCGTGTCACGCAGTAGCGCCAGGAAAGTTTGATATTTCCCATGGGAAACTAGTACATCAACTAGTGTCTCGGGATCACGTCACTCATCGCGTGACTTGCGATTTCTAATTTGTCGTCCGTGCCTGCTACTTCGGTGGCAGATATCAATAGTCGACCAACGGAAAACTACCCGATTTAGCTTCTCTTCAAAATATGAACTAGTGGAAAACAAAGATGCACCGAAGACATAAGATGCAATTAAGTGTACTGCAAGCGTATTTTATATCGTTTTGCGAAGAAAGCATGACCCCGCAAACCGACGTCGAGAAGGCTTCAGACCAATTGTGTGCGTTTGTGCAACGGGCAGTTATACTCATGTAAATCAATGAATACGATCCGAAATACCCTGCAGTGGCACTTCAAAAAAGAGATCTGTGTCGGTATTATACACAACGAAAATTTCGGCGCAGCAAATGATCAGAAGTTAAATGATCCGATAACGAAGGAAGACATGCTGACAATCATGTCATCGTCTGCACTTGATATGCCAAAACCTAGCTGGCTACAAAAGAAGATCTATGCAATCATGGCCGGGGAAATCTTTGAAGTATGACCAAGTCGCATTTTGACACTCAAATTGATAGTTCGGGATTTAAATACGTATCATTCAGTATAGACATACTGACAACAAATCACCGTGGCAAAATTGAATACGGCGGATTCAGTCAAGCTGGGAGAATCTATGCGACACCTGAAAGTCCGCTCTTCTCCGTGAAGTAGCTTGAGTATTATTTATAAAAGCTCAATTAGGAATGCGATGCGTTCTGGCAATGACCGAAGTTATTGATAAGTTCCAGCGACTCTATTTGGCACGATAATATGCCGGTGGGGGAAAATATTCTTGCCCAGAAAAAGAAGCAAATATCGTTAGCTGCCAAATGTCCCCGTATATATACAGACCACATTTTGCGATCTACAACTGTTACAACCCTAGATTGCAGAGGGAGTGAGTGGTTATAAATCCAAGTCCAGCATTAGAAGATGTAGCATAGATAAAAATAGAGAAATGAGTCGTGCTCTTTCTTCTCAGAACCACGGTAGGCCGCGTCGTCCACAAAAAGCAAGTTCCGACATTACCTCGTTAATCGTCGTCGCAGGATGAACACATTTTCAACGATCTTATCAACTCACCCGTCGTGCCTGTTAAAGCGGGAGGGTCGTCATTTGCGCACGCGTGGGAATTGAGTCCCAAGCGACGTTAACAACACATGCTAAAAGCAGTAAAAGCGCAAAGGATCATGGGTTGACGCATGTTTGTAAACAATGACACGCTTTGGCCATCTGACGCACTCCTCCGGTTTGATGTTCTATCGCAGCAAGAAATCAAAAGTAGAAACACAACTTATAACTTTCAAAGTTGTGTATTTAATATCAACCTCTAGTAGTGACTGACGCAGTAAAATAATGATATACAAAATGTTTTATTATTCCACATTCACCGTGATCATTACGTTGCAGTATGAGCAGGTAGTATTTTTTTTTTATTTAAACAATATTTTTATTTCGTTTCAATAATATAGACACACAGCACAAAATATTACATTACATAGAGGTACAAGGAAATAAAATTAAGAGAAAGAAAATAAGGAGAAGAAAACAAAGTGATCTGGTATCTAAAGTTGCCCATTATCTAGCCAATTAGTTAATGGTTCCCATTTCTGATAGTTGTAAGCTCTTTGTTTTTGTTTGTTGCGATTTGTAATATAATATTTCTATTTTCCCTGATCCAACTTTTATATGCGTATTTTGTTGGATGAATCTTTTGAACCCTACAGGTATATACATATTTTTTAAATAATAAAATAAAATGATTTAATAATATATTTTCCGGTTCACATAGACCTATAATAATATTTTTGACATTACAAACAAAATTGGCAATAAGTTTGCAATCACTTTGCAACAGTCTCCACAGTCTCTTTACAACAATACAGTTAACAAATAGGTGTTCTTATGTTTCTTCTTCTTTTTCACAAAAAGAACAGTGGGGGAGTATTGATTATTTTCCATTTATACAGTTTTAGTTGTTAAAACTCTGTGTAGAATTTTGTATTGGAATGCTCTAAGATCTGTGGAGATTGTTGTCTTGAAAAGTAGTTTCATCCCATACAAATGTTGGAAGTCTATGGCAATATTTGGCTCTTCAATAATGTTTTCACACAAAGATTTATACACCTTTTGCTCGTCATTGCATTAATTGCAACGTACTTAGAATTCCATTTGACTTTGTTTTGAAAAACACACCACTCATGGTGTTAGCATGAATGTTCTCTCTCCAGTCATCTGGTATTGCAGAGATTAGGCCTTGTATAGTATGGAATTCTGTCAAAGTGATACAATTTCCCTTCCAATATTGCCAGTCATGAAAGTTTCAATAGAAATCGATTAGGTCTATTATTCTTAATACTTTTTTTCTTGCCAAACTTTTCAGATAGACTGTACGATAGCCAATTTTTAAAAATCCATAATATTTGTTTATCAATTTCAGATGTTGTTTTTGGAGTGTATGATGTCAGAGATGACCATTCCCGGATAATATCATAATAAAAAGGTGGGATTTGATTTTCAAATTCTGATTCATCATAGTTGCAAAAAAACACGTGGTTCCAAAACTTTTTCAATAGTCCCTTCAATATATCCTTCCATCCGGCTTGGCTATCAGAAACAAACCGTTTCACCCACATAATTTGTTGTGCTTTAAAAAAGGAGTCCACCTCAATCATATTTAATCCACCCCTTTCAATATCTGAAATAAGGAGGTTACTTTTAATTTTATCCTTTCCATTCCAAATAAAATTGTAAATAATACTATTGATTTTTTTATAATTGATTTTGGCACTGCAATCATTGATGCTAAATACATGAATTGGGAGAGGCCGAAGGTTTTAAGGATCTGTATTTTACCAATTATTGGGAGTTTTCTTCTAGACCATAATGAGCATACTGACAGGTTATGTCGTCTGCATACATTACTGACTTATTTTTTAAAGGTACCAATACCATTTATAGTTGGATTATTTCGAATACTAATTGCAAGTAATTCCATTACTGTTATAAACAGATAAGGGGATAAGGGGTCTCCCTGCCGCACACCTTTTGCAATGGGAAAGTAACCAGTTGACTATCCATGATTCATCAAGCATGAAGAGATGCTACTGTAAAACGTTTTTTCCCAATTTATAAAGGAGTTACCAAAATTAAATACCTCCAATGTTTTTATCGGAAATTTGTGATCAACCGAATCGAAAGCTTTTTTGAAGTCTAGTGATATTAACACCCCATGCGTATTTTGATGTCTAGTTAGCCACATTACATCAAAAACTGTGCGAATTGCATCACCTATAAATCGACACCTATAAATTGGTCCTTCACAAACGCACATTGGTCTGGGTGAATGATAGTTGGCAGGATGGCATAAATGCGTTTTTTAATTGCTTTAGAGGCTATATTGACATCGGTTTTAATGTTTTATTTTTGCCTTTTTTAGCAATCAGGATTATGACCCCTTGTCTTTGCGACTCTGTTAACTGTCCCTTTCTATGAGAGTAATTTAAGCTATTGAGTAAATGTGAACTAATAATGTTCCAAAATGTTAGATAAAATTCAGCTGACAAGCCATCATTACCCAGTGTTTTATCTTTTGGTGGTATGTAAACCACATATATTGCATGGACAACAATTTGAATTCTTAACGCTGCAGTTGAAAAATAAAGGAACATCAATGTGAATTGTTAATGTTGGTAACACTGATTATTGATAATGTCTAACATACTAGTATGTTAGTATAAAATACCTTTCAGTGAACTTCATATGTCTTAAAACGACGTTTCCTATTTTTATGAACTTCCAAGTATCCTAGAAAACATGATGAAAATATATGTAATTGTATATATATATATATATATATATATATATATATATATATATATATATATATATATATATATATATATATATATATATATATAATGTACCTCACTCATCAGGAGCTTTATGTTTAATTCACTGCACCAACGAGCATACATGTACTTCGCAAATTAACATATTAATTAAAAATAAAATAAAAAACATACAGGTTTAAGTGTTACATAATAATGCTTTTGATCTGTGTCGGCATGATGATACAAGTTCATTTCTTTTGTTTAGTGTGGAGTGGTGAGGTCTAAAAATTATTATAATTTTTTCCTTCAAACATAGAATGCATCGTTTTGCTGGAGCTACTGTACGGGCTACCACGCGCAAGAATTTTCCATTGTTATTCTGTGCTCAATATTTTTTTCTTTGAGTGACCAAACATGTTTACTTA